CATTATTGGTTGTTAGAGAATCAAAGTAGATTTGCCAATTAATCACGAAATGCTATGGTTCTTACATATAATTTCTTAAGAAGTCATTCGCGAGATCATGCACCTTTCTTTCCTAATTATAATAGAAAGGGGTACAGCTGGTTGGATCCAGCCTATTCTTGAAATAAACAACTCACACACACTCCCTTTCCAAAAAAGATCAATACCCCAACCACTACACTTAGATTTATTGGATTTGTTGCTAAAATATCGGTATTAAATCCGAAACTCCCGGCAGATGACCAGTGGCCCAAAGAAACGAAAGAATCGGTTACATTGTTCATATAATTTCCTCTTGATTAAATCTTGATTAAAAAATCGACCCGAGTTCTTTTTGTATCACTTTTCCCCTCTTATTTTATTATTAATAAATTTTTTTTTGAAAGCGAACCAAAAAATATTCTAGTTATGTTATAAAGTATGAACTACTCCTTGATTGTTGCAACACCTCATAAAAAGAGTTTCTCTTGCCTACGAAGGGGAAGGATGAAAGAGAGTCGATATGCTAATTCTTCGTCTGCGAATCAGCCCTTCCCGTAGATTATATTAAGGAGTTGTAGGGGAGAAATCTTGATCTAATTTGAAAAAGCAAACGACAAGCCCAAGGTAAGAAAATAGAAAAAAAATATGTGTTTTCTGAGATTCAACAATTAAACAAAAGGATTCGCAAATAAAAGTGCTAATGCTACAACCAATCCATAAATCGTTAAAGCTTCCATAAAAGCTAGACTAAGCAATAGAGTACCTCGTATTTTTCCCTCTGCCTCGGGCTGTCTCGCGATCCCCTCTACAGCCTGGCCTGCGGCAGTCCCTTGACCAATCCCAGGCCCAATAGAAGCAAGCCCTACAGCCAATCCAGCAGCAATAACGGANATACAATCAACCAATGAATTAGTATTCCATCGATAAGATTGAAGTAACTAAGAACCTCGAATTTAAGTAAGAATATTCTTGAATAATCCGAACTACTTTGTTTGATATCTCCCTTTTCCTTTCTATCCACAGAGTTTTTGGGAAGTCATAGAACTGTCGCTTTTCCATTTCTTGTTTCTGAAGTCGTGTTTCAATCCTTTCATCTTTTTCTTGATTTCAACTTTTTATTTAGCCAATTCAAAGTCAAGCCACAACGATACGAAAGGACTTTTCACACATAGTAGTGGGGAAAAATATAGGTTTAGTTCATATTTTAGTTCATACATATTTTAGTTCATACATATTTTAGTTCATATATAACTAATCAATATCTAATATCACATATACATGCCATTCTTCCATAACGTAAACCGTTAGATTCAATTGGATTCGAGAATTAATTCATTTTGTTAGGAATTCCCCCTTTATTATAAATCCTTTTCTCCCTTCCGCTTTTCTTTATCATTATTCCAATCGAATACATTCTAAACGGACTGTTAAATT